GTATTTCTATATTCATATTTATTTTAAAATGACTTATTTCTGATTTCGTTGAGTAGTGGGGCGATTTGTAAATGGCAAGCTAGTAAGTAGCTAGAATAAATGGTCCAAATAAAATACTGGAACATTGCGGATTAGGGTTGTGCAATATGACCAAATTCTCATATCTCAATATAGGTCATTTCATATCCTAATAACAATATAATTTGAAAAGCCACCCAGGTATTTTAACATCCAACGAGCCATTTAAGCATTTTGCAGAGAAACAGAGAGAGAGAAAAACGTTATCTGGTTTGTGAAGACAGTGAATATTTCACACAGTCAAGGTAAACCATTCAGTACCATATTGGTTTACTTCCAATCGTTTCGACAGAATCATTACCAATAACCCTCCTCCATACATTTTTGAAAACGGAATTGCAGTGAGAAATCCATGGGCGACTTTATTAAACAAACTGCTGGAGACACACAAAGAGAAAAACAGACAGAGGCGGACGGGGGAAGCCGTGTGTATGGCATAAAGAGAAAGCAATGTGAGCAGATTAAAGCAGTTTGTGAGTAAGCTTTAGTTTTGCATTGCATCCCTGCCTCGTCAACTCCTTCACAGCGCATATTTTCCTCATATGAACTCCGGAGTGTGATTTGTAGTAAACAATATAAATGAGAGCATAATATGATCCAACATATTGTTATTCTATTTTCACACAACTCTATTGCATATAACATAAACATAACATAAATTTGATAGTAATTTATTCTCCAGCATTCAGTCTTGTGTATGCACCTTCAAGCTGATGCCCAGGAGGGTGTTCGCTCGGGCCTACAGACTGTGTACGGAGTGCGAGCGCCAGCAACAGGATGTAGTTCACTTTACGGCCACTGGTGTCATTATTGACAACTTAACTACAACAGGTTTGCAGGTGCGCGACAAATTCAGGTAATTTTGCCATATATCATCTTGCAATGTTAACTAGTGTGTATCCGCCCCATTATATGTATTCGCTCCAAAATTTAACAGGCTCTTTGTTGGCCCATACTGCACCCTTCTACCAAGTTTCATGAAAATCGGGCTTGTAGTTTTTCGGTAATCCTAATGACAGACAAGCAAACAAAAACCAGCACCAAAAACCTAACCTCCTTGGCAGAGGTAATTATGATGACAAAACAGCTGTAAAATATCGTGCCCAACTTTTTCATCACCAAATGTGAGGTCAGAAATCCATTTCTCTCTGCATGAGAAGTCTGCAGTACAGACTGTGGCATTGTGTGTGGTGGGTTGTGTAGAAGCCTGCTGTTTAATCTAATCAATCACTGCAAAGCTCGGAAAATAAATACGGATTGTAAAGTGTAACACTGGTGGGCTTATATTTCTTGCAGCGCCTGAAAAACACAAACATTGGTGGTGTGATGTGGTTTGTGCTTTTTATGATAATTTCAGCAATGTATTAGGTAAAATAAGATTACAGGTATCATTAAAACTGAGAAATGAAGCAGACGTACGGGCTCAGCAATGTATGTACGCGTGCATGTTGACCTGGTATAGCAGATTGCGGAGGCAGGCGACTTCCTTCTGCAGGTCTTTTGTTTGGACCACCAGCTGGTTGCAGACGGCCTGGGCCTCCTTCTTTGGGTCCACTGAGAATACCAGCTACATGGAGGACCAGAGAGACAGAGACCAAGTTCTACTTTATAAATCTAGCTGGCAGGTGAGATATACAGAGCAATGCTTTCATAAAAGGACAGTTGACAGTGAATGCTCTCATAAAGGCACCTGGCCTCATACCAGGACAGGAGGGGACACTGGACAGTGCAGTTCCTTTTAGCAGCACTATTAAAGCACTATTGTGCTTTTTTGGAATTTACTGGTTTACCAACTTCAAAAACGATTCCTACTTTACATGTCATACCCCTGACACTTTAGCTATATTGCATTAATATGCCTTTACAATAAGCTCCACCATGGAAAAATACATTTTCTATAATTCACAATGAGGATTTACATTTTAACACATTTGGCCTAGGAGTGCACCACTATAGACGACATGTACCTGAGAGGCTTTGTGGGGGAAACGACTAATGACACCCTGAAGCGACTCCGTCAGGAAGCAGCACTGCTGCCTTACACTTATCAGGAAGTCACGCAGCTCCTCAGTCCTGCAAAACATAAGCAACTTATGAAGATCTGATTGAAACATACAAAAACAAATAAATTGATATATATTTATACAGTATGTATCTTTTAAAGAAAATATTTGCACACCTCATTTTTATTTATTGTTGCATACTGTACACCCATGGTGTTTGTAGTGCTCAGTGTATTTTTTTAAGCTGATCAACAACAAAAAATCATAAATCTTTTTGTGTTTTATATAATAGTAGACAAAATATCTATGGGGTTTAGACTGATGGCTCAAACAAAACAAATAATTTGAAGGGTCACCTGTGCTCTTGGAACTTGCGATTTATATCTGTCACAATTTCCTAACATTTATACTCAACAACAAAACACTCAATCATAAAAAGAATCCACAGATCAATTGACAATGAATATAATCATTAGTTGCACCACTGAAGTTTTGTAAAGGCAACTATAATTCAGTAATTCCAGTTTTTCAAATGTGAGATTACAATTTCAATTGCCCAGTGCAAAGTACACTAATCTAAGTGAATAAGGGTAATGAGGCATATAAATGTGTTACATTGCTCATCTGCTTTTTTAGGCATACAGATAATGCTGTTGGAGCTTCAAAGCTGAGGTCAGTAGGTTTACCTTCTTAAAAAGTGAGCCCTAAGGAGATGTCCACATGAAATACAAAGGCAAGGCAAGGCCTTCCAAAGATGCCCAGCAATGAAAGGGCAGACAGATTGATAGTTTGGACCAAACTTTGTGTTAACATTCTCAATGCATTTTCCTGGAGTCCACCTCTCCAAACTCTATAGAAAACTGAGCAGGTGGTCAAGCCTCCTCCCCACCTCCTCCCCACGCTAACTCATGCTGTCATTCCTCCCTGAAAACATCTACCTTAAATGATTAGTTATTTATATCCATCAACCTCTCTGTCCCTATCTTCCCATCCCCTGGTCCTGTGGGATATTGATAGCTCTTATCTTAATGGTGCATTTCCCTTGGTGAGGGGACTGGGCAGCCAGCCGCCCCGGCCCTCCTCACACTCTGTCACAGGGGCGAATAAACACTGTCAGTCAGCCTGTGCTGCACCTTCACCTCCCTTCTCCCAGCTGTTAGTTTATCTAGGGAGAAGAGAGTGATGATGGGCCCCCAGTAGGAAGATCATTGAAGGGTATTGTGGATGGAAAGGACGTTATGTGGGAATGCTGATAAAAGATGCATATGTGCCACTTGATGATAAACATTTATTTATCCATGGAAAATAAATTGGGCATACCCGCCCTTTTCCAGCAGTACCCAAGTGCCTTGCAACTGTTGATTCAGAAGTCTCTTTGGATAACCAAGCCCAAAGAGGCTATGTCTTTAGCTTTAGCCTCATCAGCGGGCTCTAATAGGCCCCAATGACTTTATGGACAGAGAATTTCAAGCAGCTGCCTCAGAAATCGAGGCTTCGGACACGGGCCACTAGAATGAAGCCTCCAACCTGCCATGAGATTCAGGAACATGCAGCGGCCCAATGTTAGTGCTTTAGGCCTAATCTGCTCAGGCTCCACAGGTACAGGCCCTACCACTAGCTGCACTGCCTTGAGGTGACTGAACCTGAATTGCTGCATGTGTGGAAAAACATGAATGTTTCAGTTTCTGCATGTCACAGTATTTCAGTACATTAAAGTCAAATACAATTACACCAGGCATAACTTTCTTTCCACATCCTTGACATGTCAACGAAAAGATTTTAAGACCAATTTTCTACTATTTTCATTTTTTGTGTGACATAAGGATCCTGAAGGAGCTCTTAAGGAGGTCTGGCCCTGATCAAGCTCTCCATCCCTCTCATTAACCTTCCCCTCTCTCTATTGGACTGTCTCTCATCCGGCAGGCGAGGGCGGGTACAGTCGTTGGAGTCCAGTTCTGCTGAGGATTCATGAAGTGATGGGGTGCAGTGCGATGGCTCTGTTTGGCCCCTGCCGCTGGCTCTCCTTTTTCTCATTGCAACCTCCCATCGCCTCTCACCTTACAAATCATTACAGCTCCGCTTAAACCATTAGGGTCTGGCTCAGGGCTCGGCTACGGAGATGGGGGGAGGAGGATATGGGGCTAGGACAGAGAGATGCTCATGGGGCTGATGGACGACTTCCACTGGGGGAGGACAGATGGAGCATTACGAGGAGATGGAGGAGGGCTGGATGTGGGGGAGGGTTTAAGGTGTGTGGCTGACAAGTGTTTAACATTTTTGCTACTACAGTCAACTTTGTTTCTGGCTTTGTGCAGTGGAAGTGTTTGTGGAAAACTTTTTTTGCAACTGACAGCTTATCGGACATTTCACATATACTAAAACAAACAAAGATTTTCAAATACTGTAAGTATTCTTAAACACCTTTTGACAAGTTTCTGTCAGACACCACAATGATTTTTGTAATATTTGGACTGTACTATAGATAGGGAAGTTAAAGTGCAGAGAATGTAGCCTCTGATCAGATTATTAGTCATTCTAATCTCATAATACTGCCTTCCTGAAAAATAATGGTCAAACTAACTCCCAGTTTTCCCTTCAACACTCTAAGAGACTCCTGAAAGTTGAATACATGTGTTGATTGCCACAGACCTACTGGGAACTAAGATGAGGTACCCTACCCACTGCCTGCGGCCCCCAGTTGGTCGATTGTTTCTAGGTCCACTTTGTCCAGATGCATCTGCCGCACAGCAGTCAGTACCTTCTCCTGGTCCACCGGGTCTGTGATACCAACCTGACAAATAGGAAAATGGGTGTTTGTTGTTGATTAAAATCTCTTTCCTTGTTATATGTTTAGAAAAAACATCAAACTGTGAGATTGTTTGATGATTATTCATCTGAAGTGTGCTCCAGAAATTCTCTGAAACTATATCATGCTTTATTGAATTTGAAATAAAACCCAAGGCATTTTTATTACTGCATCACCATATCAAATAAAAAATGATTGGTATAATTCACCAGAAAATATGTTTCATGTCTGAAAAACGTCTGGACTGCAGTTCTATCAGTTATTATAAATGTCTTTGTAATAATGGCCAAAAATGTGAAATGTGGAACAGATTAAGGGCACTAAATACACAAATTTGACATTTATTTACCTCTTTTGACCGATTTGAGGCCTATCCATGTTTACAGAAATATAGCTAATTATATTGAAATAATTATGCTAGGATACACCGCCGACTCAGGGTATCAGTTTAATCTTTTACCACCTTCTTTCTACTGAACTTGTGCCCTTCAACAGCAGTGACATCAGCGGCCACCCTCGTCTCTTTCTGGGTCACCCTGAAGGCTGGCAGTGAGCAGAGAGCTGACAGACAAACAGATGTTACAGTCATCTTCTACCTTCTCCAGGTCTTCCTTCTCCATGGTCAACAGGTAGCTCCAGGTGATGTCATTTTCCTGTGGACGTGTGTATGCGAAAAAGAGAGCAAGAAAGAGAAAACGTCACTCAGCATTTACCAAATCAAAACTTTTACAGACTCCACCACCTGAAACAGATGTACCTGCATGAGGCTTTGCCATATGATGACAACAAGCTACCTGCACCCATAAAACCCAGTCCCATAAATCAGATAGGGCCTAAAATTTGAGCTGACCCTTTTCATTTTAATTCGGGCCAAGACAATCCAGTACACTACATCCATTATGAAGCACTAAGTAAAATATGTAAACTAGTCATCTCATGACATGTTCCCAAGCATGTTGTCATTCTGTTAATAATGCAGCTGTGCTCAACACATTTGGGATCACTTTATCTCACCCATAGATCTAATACTGTATTGTACTGTGTGTAACAGCATGCTATCTCTACTCGCTATCTTGGCATCAGTGAGATAAGAGGATAGAAATCTCTCACACTAGAGAAAGGGGCTGTGCATGCCAACATTAACTATTTGAGAGAGAAACACATTGAAGCATGCAATTGGTACTTACAGTCATGATGTCAGTGAGGTAGCCAAGATCGAGGCCGTGTAGGAGGAGCTCAAGATCATCAAGCTTGGTTACACTGAGGAGGGCAGAGAGTTCACCTTGACACTTAAGGACAACTGACTTATTTCACATTAGTAACCCAAGCAAGAACCAGGTAGGACTAAATCTGTTTGAACAGAGACTTCCTCAGTAGAGCATGTTTGTGAAAATGCTAATTAGTTCAAAAGCAGCATACTGAAAAGGGCTTGTTTTAAGATCTCACAGCAGCAAAAGTCTAGCCTATTGAAGTGTCCTTGAGCAATGAACTACACCCCCTCCAGCTCTAAAGTTCCTGAATTAAACCTTTGACATCCCTGTAGAAATGATTGGCCAGAAGGAAACATCTCTTTTGCAAGATGATCGAGTGTCATTGAGTTCACGCACATCAGACTAACCGTAGTGTAAACACAGCCTCAGTTTGACTGTTGACATGACAAGCTTTACAAATGAGCGTGTCTTCTCACGCCGCTCAAAAAATGTAAAATGTGTGAGTTAACTTTTAACATCTATGTACCTGACATGAGAGAGAGACAGTTAAAATGTTTACAGGCACTAACTCCTGGTGCCAGACATGCTAGAATACAATGTTTTTGGCTAATGATAATTGCTCAGCTGTGCCTGAAGGGACTAAACACTCGTGCAAGAGGTTTATTATTGTTTATGTCTGGTTGAACAATGGTTCAACAACACCTGCTGGACAGGCACTGGTTCACAGAAAAATCCTATAGGGGGAGACAAGCACACAGGCTGCAGTGACTGATGAGATACTGCTTTGAGAACAGAGAAGCAGATGGGTGTAAAGCAGAACTGTATGAATTCACTGATGCGTTAGAATTTACTCAGTATAATCTTCAGAAGAACTGTGACCCTTATTTATGGAGAAACGGTTTAGTTCTGGGTACGTGCTGTCACTTGGAGAGCAGCCCAGAACAACCACTGTGTTAGTCACAGCGGTACTGATACACTTTCCTCTCTTAGATAGTATTGAAATGATTTAAATAAATTAAATTACTATCTTGGGTCTCTATCAGAAAGAAAGTTCAACTTAGTCTACCAATCTTTGGGCTACCTGGTTTCAATTAACTGGCTTTACTGAATGACCAGTATCACAACAGCAGGCTCAGTCTGGATTCAGATGAACAGTAATATTCATCCAGGTAAAAGAATCACACAAGAACAGAAAAAAATAAAACAAAAAAATGACTTATTACCACATAATAAAATAATGATTGTATTATACATGTATTTTATTAAAAGTATATTATACACACCTTACTAAATATGATCAGCCCAATAAATACACATCAGACATCTTCAAATCATCCGTTAAGAATCCCCTGGGTTGAATCGCATTGTGTCAGTCACATCACTGGACTTTTTTGGCTGCCTCACTCTACACTTAGTGAAGCAGAACAACAGCACGCCAGGCTTTAAACCTTTACAAACCAAGTCTTGTCGCAACTACAGAAGTAGCTGTGATGGGAACAGGAGGGTTGCTTCAACGCTCTTAGCTCTGGTGTTGAATGCTAGCGAAGTCAGCAAAAGTACTTTTGAACCAAACGCTGGTACAACATCCTCAGAAGCTGACCGAACCTGGCAGGAGAGATGATCCATGGATTTTCGCATGGCATCCATGGCACTAGGATTTTATAGCTGAACTATGACAGGAAAATTGATGTTTTCATTACATAGATAATAATAAAAAAAAACTAAAGAATGAGTCTTTTAGGTCAAACGTGAGACCTGACATGTATAGGAGCATGAAGCAGCAGAAACCCATCCCACCCCCACGTAGATGCATCGGTCTGTGGTGCTCGTACAGCCCTATATAATTCATAAATAAAAGAGTAGTAGTGGAGCAGGATAGTGGTAAGCATGTTAACACATTCTATGTCAAACATGCCCAAGCTCTGAAGGCACAGTGCAAGTCTCAGGTCGTCTTACCTTTCCTTGGAAGGTGGTGGTTCAGAGTTAGTCTTCAAGAACTTTGAGAGGGTCTCCTCCATGGAGCTGAAGGCCTCGACAGTAGAGACATAGGATGAAGAGGCCAGAATCCTAGTTATCTGTGAACAGACACAGAAAGGATACTGAGAGACTGGGGAAAATGTATTTGGCAGTCCAGCACAACACAAGTACTTCACTAAGTAGTACTTACTATGGGCTAAGGTTTGTGTAATGCAAAAATACTATAAATGACAATGTTTTTTTTTTTTTACTAAAATAAAGTAAAATACTCATTGTTCATTACTTTTATTCAGCTTTACTGACCTAATTCCATGGGATAACTAGACCTCAGACTTCAGGTACCTGTGTGCGTTTGAATATCACAGCCAGGTCAGCGGGGCTCTTGCCAGCGTTGGTCCGTATGGTTTTATCTGCTCCCAGCTGAAGGAGCTTTAGCACCGCCTCCTCTCTGCCATACTGCACGGCTACAGACAAAGCCTGACAGAAAATATTAACACTTAGTATGATTATTAATTTATTAATTATCATAAATAAATTCAAATGTATAAAAACATTCCGACTGAAGGGACCTGCCATACAAAAAAACAAAAAACGTTTGACACACCGTGCACCCATTGCTATCTTGGACATTGATTTCTGCCCCATGGGAGACCAGCAGGTTGATGAGTTTACAGTAGCCGTCCCTTGCTGCCAGCATTAGGCAGGTTGTTTGAGACCTGAAAGGACAGGTGACAAGAAAGCAGAGAAGAGATGAAAGTTAACAACAGGAATGGAGAAGAAGTTAATGAGCAAAAGAAAGGACCAGAGTGAAGAGGCGGGGGAAGGAGAAGTGGAAAGAGTACAGGGCCACGAGGAAACCAGAGTAGAAAGAGCAAAAGGAAAAATATTTAAAAGAAAATAATAGAAAGGTAAAATTAAGAGATAAATGGTGAGATGAGGATATTGTAGAAGTGATGAAAGGAAATGGGGACATGACTAAACAAGAGTAATGATGAAGGTACAGAGAAACCACCAGGGGGCAGCAGACACCAGATTATAGGTACAAATTTACTTTGACACCACTAGTATACAAACTCATTGTACTCAGACAATATTCATTCACCATTTCAGCTGTAACAGGCCACAATACAAAGAATCACAACTGCAACCAAGTCTGGTCCAAACCTAATGCACTCACATATTCAACTATAGATTTGTCTGTTAAAGGAATATGTTTTGAGAAACTAATATCACATGCAGGATTGACATGTTGCTCTAAAAAGGTTAGTTGCTTTTTAAGTAAAGCTGCAATTACTAGTTAATCAATCAAGTTGTGGATCAACAGAAAAGTAATCATCAACTATTTGTCTTTGGCCTTTGGACTGAACAAAAGTAGCAATCTGATGACTTTACCTTGAGTTTAAGGGAATTGTGGGCATTTTTAGATATTTTATAATAAAAATGATCTTTATTTGCAGTCCTAGTAGACAGCCTGATTCATAGCAGTTACAACTGGATTCATATAGAGATCTAAAGCACAGCAAGAAACCAACAGAAAACATCTAAAGAAACTTCTCAAACATTCATTGCATATTTAGCTATTTACATGCAAAACAATTGTTTGGAATGCAATGCACACATGGATCAATGGTGGAGAGGTGGATTATGATGTATGAGTCGTTTCTATCTATTAAAGTTTCTATGGACATATTGGTTTTTCTGCCGTGACTCTGTGTGAGTATTTGATCATTAGATTTTCACTGGAGTTTTCCTTTAAACAAACAATAAAACAAGTGCAAGGTAATCTATTGTAGTGGTTACAGACAGAGCATCATGTAAGCACACACAAACACACACATTAAACATGTCCTTCAACAGCCAACAGTTGTTAAATGACCTGGAGAGAATACCTGGTTTTAACAACTTTGACCTTCATACTAACAGTCGTTCCTCTGTGTTTGCTTCAATCAGAACAAGGACTGTATATAAATAACTACAGCGCTTCTGTATCTTATCACCTCTGACACAAACACACCAGGTGAGAAAAATACATTCATCCAGGAGGGGTGGGAAAGTCCAGAGGCTATTCATCACTTCGCTACGTTCAATACGTTTATAGGAAACTGGTTGTGTGTGTATGTGTGAGAGAGCAACACAGCAAGAGGGAAGGAGGAGGCATTTAAAAAGACAATCCATAATTCACATGAATACAAAGGAATAGCCCAACAAAACACAGGATGGGAATGCATTATCATTCTTAAACTGTTTGACAGGTCTTTTTTTACGTGTACTCACACTGGAACAGCCACTACATCCAAGTTAATGCTTTCTGTCTCAGTAAAAAGGTTTATTTGCATCAATATTTCAAGACTAAAAAAGGCAAATTAAGTCTAGAAAATTTTGGATTTTGATTTATATGTGAGACAGCAAGGAAAATAGACTGTGAAGAAGGCAAATCAAGAATGATCTTTTAGGTTTTCATAATTGCTATTTGGAGTTGGAGATACAGATTACATATACTATCAGAGTATTCGTAATATCATCATGATATAGTACGTTTTCTAGAAATTCATTTCAAAAGCATGTAGATAAGATAAGAACTAATCCAGTGACTTTAACCCCCAATAAAACATGGTTGAAAGTATATATCGTCAAACAGACCAACCATAAATACCATTCATAGTGGTGCCTTTTTTGCATTGTCACCTCTATTTTTTATTACTTTAATAAGTATTTAATTTTGTACCAATACATTAACTTGAACTGAAATTGCTCCTAGACAGAGGTGATGTTTGTCTAACAGGTGTGAAACATCCAGCAGTACGGACAGCAACATTAGCCATTAACAAATTCCAAGAAATCAAAAGTTAATGTTCTATGTGAACTCAAACAAATGCCTGTGACGTCTATGACAATATCTTTACTCATATTCTTCTACGCCCCCACCAATCAGCCAATTCCTCTTTGACTCATCCAGGCGAACGGGATAGCTAGTGCCATTAATTATGCTTCCCTGTGCTGTGCTAGAAGTATTTTCCCAAGCGTGATGTGAGACAGGTCCCATGGTCAATCATATACTGCTTCAGTGTGTTTTCTGTGTGTGTGTCCTTCAGACTGAGACAGACAGCTAATCGATATGCATACAGTTCAGAGTAAACATCTTTCCTGGCATCTGGACAGCGAGATGAATAACTTCCAGAAACACCTGACTCACAGTAACAAGGTAAACACACTACATCTAAAAATGGCTTCCGCAAAGTGAATCCTAAAGTGTGAAAAGATGATGTCTTGTCTGACAAAATAATACCAATGAGCAAACTATGCATACACAGCATGTTACTGGCTGGTTTCATGCTGCTGATGATCTTATTTTTGTCTTGTGCAGTGACAACTTGTCTACAACTATCATGGTCCTATTAATAATATACCTAGGGTGATAACAAGCAACTTTCCCCGGTGTGGGATCAATAAAGTCCATCTTATCTTATTTTACCTGATCATTCTGCACAGTGGTTATTTTGTGGATGGATGTGGTTGCCCATACTATCTAGTAGGACTATAGTAAATCCAAGCCAAGTCACAAGTCTTCATAAGCATACTGAAAGTCAAGAGCAAGTCTTTTATACATCTGAATGCAGACCATTCAAAAGATGCAGCGTTAGCACATTTTTCTTTCTTAACACTGGCCCTGCAAACTGTGTGGTTATGCACTTTTACACTGTTCAGAAAGTCTCACACCACTCTAGTCCAAGTCAAGTCTCAAGTCCTACTTTTTGTGAAATTAGGTCAGATTCCAAGTCTACGTCTACAGCTGTGTGTGTCCATATCAGTACAGGTCCTGACTCAATGTTTCCATTACTTTTTGGAGAAAGACAAAAAACTGACACATTTTATATTTTGCTGGCGGTAAAGAGACAGAACAGGCACAGCTGCCGTATCAGCTGGATTAATGGGCCTTTTTGACGTTTTAAAGCAGAAGGTTATGGAAGTCTAATATGGAATTTTGCTTCTGTGAATATCTCTGCAGTCCTCAGCAGAGAAGAGTATTACGAGTAACCGCAGGTTGCAGAGACTTGCAGGAGCGGACAACAGAACACAACTTCCAAATCTCAGCAACACGTGCATCCAGTAAGCTGACTGGTTGATCCAGATCCTGTTTGAAGCTGAGAAGAAAGATGTAAATGTATCAAAATCTGCACAAGTATAAAAGAGATGCAAGCCCCCCAGAACGACCCCCTTGCACATTCATCTACTGTATGTGCATCGCGGAGAAATATGTTCCAGCCACAACTATGGTCAACACAGATCAGTACAATGAGGTGAAAAAAGAGGGACACATGGAGGCAATGGACCCCACATCGCGGTCCTGCAGGACTTTGAGAGACGACAGACAATGCTTGTTTACACTATGACGGAGGGACGAGCAGCTGGTGTTAATCATTGGTTTGATATTCAGACGTAAGAGGCGATGAGGAGGCGGAGGAGGTTTATCCTCTGCACCCACATGAACCTCATATTCTTCTTTTGCTCTGGATGTTAGAGGGTGTTGGCCCCTCCTCCTCACCACCTCTCCTCATCTGCATCCTCCTGTGTCTTGTTACCTTGCTTCAAATATTTTGTCTGGGAAGGAACCAATCAATTTCCTAACGCTACAGCGTGTCCATGTGTGTCATCAGGGGCTTTCAGGCGGTGTGTGTCGTGCATGTAATGGCATACTGGCAGTGACAGAGTGGCAGGGGATTAGGTAAAGCTAAACAAGAAAGCCACTGGGGGCTGAATCCTCCCTTTGACACGGCAAAAATCCACACATGGTAACAGTAAAAGAACTTCAAGAATGACCTCCCTTCATTCTTTTCCACGACATGGAATTTTTCATGTTCCTCACCAGGACAGGAACCAGGTTTTATAACCACTGGCTGCAATGGCTGATGGAGGCCAAACTTCCTCTGTCACAGGTACTAATTTATATAGTGAAATAAATTCAAAATACAAAATAGTTAGGTCAGTGTCTATCTAAATGGGGGCATAGGGGCCCTTGGGGACTGCCAGCACATGTCAGGGGGGCCTTAGGGGGAAGATAAGGGACAAAGTAAAAAAAAGAAAGAAAAAGAAATAAAATAATTATTATGTATGTACCTAGGCGAATCGCCCAAGGGATATATTAGGCAGCAGGTGAACATTTTTTCCTCAAGTTGATGTGTTAGAAGCAGCGTTGGGCAGCGTGAGGATTTCAGCAACTTTAACAAGAGCCAAATTATGATGGTTAGACGACTGGGTCAAAGCATCTC